TCTCCCCACCTTCCCCTTCTCCCACTGGGTGAACACCTCCCTTACTTCTTGCCCCTCTGGGAGGTAAATTACCCCTTCCCCTCCTTTTCCTCCTTCCTGACCCTCTCTCTCTGCCCTATCCTAGCGCATTTGGCTTGGCCTTTGCCTCCCTGATACTACCACCACCACTGTGAGGCCTTGCTCTTTCAAGGCCTGCTCCCGCAGCCTGCTCTCCCACTTCCCAGGGAAGAGGAAGAGGCTGGCTGAGTCAGGCAAAGATCCGCCAGGGCTGGTACTGCTGGTCCATCCACAAGCACAGCATCTGGGGCGAGGGGTTGGGAAGGGGTGGGCAGCTACAGGACAAAGAGCCAGGGGTTTTCCCCTTGAATGTAATGAAAGGCCTTGGAGGCAGCTGCTGGGATTGGCTCCTTGTGGCCTCTTTGGTGTTCCCCTTTCCGTAACAACCTTGTGACCCCCTTGGTTGTGTATGGACAAATTTGAGTTGGAGTTATGTTCTTTTCTTTCTTCTTTTTTCTTTTACAATTTTCTGTTCTCTTTCTTTCTTTTTTTTTTCTTTTCTTGTTTTAAAACTGAATGGCACGAAATCGTTTTTCCTCTACTCGGAGATTCCTGTATGGAGAAAATCAATTTCTATATTTGCAATAAATTTCTTATTTAAAAAAACCAAAAAACCCAAAAAACAACAAACAAAAATATGAAAACCTGCTTCTGAGTCCATTTGTCCCAGCCTTGCATTGGGAAGGAAGTGATGTGGGATGGGGAAGAAGGGGATAGGGGAGAAACTTTAAAAGCTGGGGAGACACATCTATGCCAGGGAATGGTGAAAGATTCTGGATTCTCCTAAGCTCCGCCTGAACACACTGGGAGCTTCCTGCTTCTCCATCCTTGGATATTGCCTCGTTGTGAGCCCTGTTTGGACATATCCTCATTCTGCTAGGTCCTCAGCTTTATAATGTTACCAGTCCCCTGCTGTACCACTTAGCACTCGGTTTATGTTCCATCCTGGGCATGCATATACTGTCACCTGGGCATAGGCAATGCTTGCTTTCCCATCATCTACACAACAAACCCTCAACTGTGGTGAGAGGCATCCTCTGCCCAAGCTCCAGAATCGTCTGGAGGAAGGCAGTCTATGTGAGTAGATCCCAGGTGATGTGGCCACGGGTAGAGACCGAGCAAGCTGTAGCCTAATCCACCAGCAGATATTCTGACCTCAGCTCTTCCTAAGCATCAATATTTCAAGTCCAAACTACAGCCAGCAAATCCATGGGTATTAGTGTACTTATGTAAATAAGTAGGCCAATTTGTGCATGGTGACATAACAGCCATTCTCTTACAAGTCTTGTCTCACCCCACCTCCTGTTTGTTCTCATTTCTAGTCTCTTCAAGAGTAATACAGCTGCTTGGCTTAGTGGGCTGCTTCCTTTGCCCTGGTGCATCCAGCTTTGATCAGACAGGCCTAATCATGGCTTCTGAGCTTCTTTCTTGGACATGCTGAATTTATAACCTTAGGTCCTAGAGTGGGGGTGGCAGGAAGAAGGAGTATTCTGGGGACTGTGAATATGGGTGTAATAGTGACTTTCAGCTCCTTGATACATATTCCACAGTAGCTGGAGACTCTTATTATGCATGGATTGATTTAGAGCAGCCTTTGAGGCAGATGCTTCTACAGGCTGATGCCTTCCACTCTCTCATATTCTTCCTTGGACTTGGGAAGCACGACTGAAGCATGGTGCTGGGCTCTTCCTCTCTGAGGGATAGAAAATGGTGCATGACAATGAGGAACTCGGCTAAGGTTAGGCAAAACTTTGTGTGTTTGGTGGAAAGCTGGATCCCTGGGTCAAGGTGGTGTTCCAGGCATCCATATCTCTGCAGTGCAGGGATATGGGCCTTCTGAGGCAGAGAAACTGAAAGCCTGGGAGGAATTAATGCATAAATTCCAAACAGGCATAATCTAATCAGAACAGTGTCTCCATGCTGTTTATTTTGCTGTGAAATTCAATTTTGTCTCCATAGTCCC